TAAGCCCTATAAATGTATAATCACTATGCTAGACACTTGAAATAATATATGTTGACTGTAAATGAAAAACAAAAAAATTATTTAAAAAAATTAATAAAGCAAACAGGTCAAAATGTCAGCAATAAACAAAAAAAAAAACTAAAACTAAATCTGCAGCACACTGGTACTTGCGGATTGAATTAAGAAAATGCAATTATTTATAGAGCAAAAATTCATGTTGTAGTCAGATGCCCCATGTTTTGGTTTTCTAGTTTACAGATTCCTTTTTGCATCTTGTTTCTGTCTCATATTAATACTCCACAGTCTTCCTTCTGATTATTGCCTGTGAATACCAATCTCAGGGCAGCAGTGGGAGGGAAGCAAAACTCAAATGAACCAGTCCCGATGCTCTTGAGTAACTGATTATGTAACAAATAAAAAGGAATAAAATGTCTTTTTCAGACAGACATTTTCTGTTGGATAAGAGTAATACGTGAAGCTTGAAAATATATACTACTTTCCCCTTATTTAAATTATTATAACTACTAATGTTTACTTATTTGATCCTTACAATTCTGTGTGATGGGTAAGGCAAATATTTTAAATCATGCATTCGATGCTGAGAGAGGACAAGGATTTGCTGAAGATTTATAGATATAGTTAATATGTCAAAGGAAAAGTTAGAATACCTTTAAATATTCTTAGATGCGAATATAAGAAACCTCAGCATTGTACGTCTCACAGAATAATCTGTACATTCCAAATGCGATATGCTTACTTAGTGGCTTCTTTTCCCCTCTCTCCTACCCCCTTAAAACTACTCTGGTAGGGCCACCTGCATTATGCAGTGGTCTCCAACTGTAAGACTGTGTGTGGTGATCATTCAGTCAACAAAAGGATTCATCATACCAAAAGTCTCAGGAGCAAACTGCAGTGCATTCCAGTATGTAGCACACATGCTCATAGTACCAGTCAACCTAAAGACTACATTTAGATTTTATTCCGTGTAGGGCATGAATATCCCTATAGAAATAAAATGAGCCATCTTCGAGACACTGCACTTCTGGCAGAGTTATCAAAGGACTCCACCAGCCCTACCAGCCTCCAAGAGCCCTTCCTCATAGAAGAGCTGCCCCAAGAGATGCAGTGCCAATTCATCCTGAAGCCCAGCCACCTGGCTGAGACCCAGCAACTGAGTGGTGAGTTGCTTCTCCTCCTTCATAGAGCCCTTACTTTAGCAAAAGTTTCCATTCCTGAAAATAGAGTTAGTCCAAAGGCAAAGAGCCAGACTTGCATTCAGAGATATATGTTTTCATTTGAATTTGCTAAGTGTTTTGAAAGGAAAGATGGAGTTTTAGAAGAAAGTTTCATAAACCAGCAGCAGGTGTGACTGACTTGTAATCAGTAGCTAGTAGCAGTATAGTCTGTCCCTTCTTTCTTCACTATTCTTTCTCGTTTAATCTTCCCTCTGCAGTCAGAGACACCAGGCAATGCTGCAGGTGCTTCAATGCCTTCTTCATACTGTAATACATCACACTGTGTGTTCCCTCTATATAGTCACATTTTAAAAGGAGGCTGTCAGTAGTGAGTGTCAGGAGACTGTGATGCCCTCCCTGCATCCTGGTACTGATAAGTATGTGAAAACTAAGATGATTTCCACAGAAATCTCTTTTTAGTCTACTAATCGAATCTGAATTCCCTCTTAACATAGCCATCACTTAGTCACCCTGTGATAAAAAATGACAAAAGTAATATTCAACATAAGAGGACCATCATTTACCCTAAGGCAAGCTTGAGTGTTAAGCCCTCAGTCTGAAAGTAAAATTGTAGAAGAAATAGAAGAAAAAGGATACCAACAAGTGTGAGTGAGATAATAAAAACTTGATGCTGAATTTCTGTAGCTGCCTTTGTGAATCTGAACCAACGGAGGGACCCAGTGAACAGTGGCAGCTCTTTTATACACACACACCCACACATGCGCATCCAACTTTATCCAGTAGTGAAATCATCAGTCATCTGGCCAACACCAGCTGTAAAAACTTACCTAACATTTACACTCATTGTCTTCTCTCCTGCAATGGTAAATCAAGTTTTTGGACTCTAAGGCTGTGTACTCATCATATTTTTGGGCCACTTTGAAAGAGTATTATAAAGATGTCGTAGATTGTCATCCACTAAATTGTGAGCTCAATGAAGGCAGAGATTTTAGTCTGTTTCATTCACCGTGGTATTCTCAGCACACAGCCTGATACACATAAAAAAATCTCAAATATTTTTGAATAATAAATTTATTAATAAGTCAGCTGTTACTGCTGATTAAAGATACAAAGGGAAAATTGCCTTTATAACTAAGCCTAGGAGGCTAGTGTTTTAATTTTCTACCTTTATACCCAGGTTTCTCAAAACGATTTCTCTGGATCCCTTGTGAATTTTAAATTAATTTTTGACCAAATAAGCAGGGATCAAAAATCCCAAGAGTTTTACCCAATTTTGCCAATTACTTGCTTAATTAAATTGTATGCAATCTCTGCTAATAAATCCTTTTTCTCCCATGGTAAGTTAGGATACTAGTGTTTGCAGCTATAAATGATTTGTGGTAAATGGGATCAGGGATGACGT